CCTTCCTTCCTTCCTTCCTTCCTTCCTTCCTTCCTTCCTTCCTTCCTTCCTTCCTTCCTTCCTTCCAGAGAGGCACCACTCCATCAGCAGTGCTAGTATTAGGATTCCTTTCTCCTCAGGTTTCTGCAGGGAGACTCATCACAGAATTCACCTTCATGGATCCCCCATGGCGTGGCTTTAGAACTCTGCTGTGCCCATTTTTAGATGTATGACTCGGTGCTTCCGTTTCTTCGTTTGCAAGATTGGATACTAATAGTTTAGTGAAATTGCTCACTAGCAGGTGCTTGAAACGGTTGGTGGTACATGATACATACTTCTCCGTATGGACCTGGCACACGAGCCTGTCGTTCCAGCACTGGGAGGTGGAGGCACAAAGATCAGGAGTCCAGAGCCAGGCTCAGCTACAAGGCAAGTTTGAGGCCAGTCTGGACTGCACAAACCTCTATCTTAACAAACAAACAAAAGAAACAAATCACCGGATGTGGTGGCTCACGCCTTCAGTACCCAGGTGGCAGATCTCTGAGTTTCAGACCAGCTACAGCTATAACTACGTGGTGAGACCCTGTCAAAAGAAGAAAGACAGACATCTTCATGTAGACAGCCAGCGAAGGTTACCAGTTGGTGAAGCACGAGGCCTCTGGCATACAATAGCTCTCCAGGTTCTTGGTCTACAGCAGAGGGTCTCCACCAGGGACAGTTTTGCTCTCCAGGAGTTTGTTGATGTCAGGTTGCTTGTGGACAGTCTAGCCTTTTATTTATTGCTATTGTGTATGTGTGATCTCCTTGGCATGCATATGGAGATCACAGGACAGCTTTGTGGAGTCGCTCCTCTCTCTCCACCATTATGTGGTTCTGAGGCTTGAACTCAGGTTTCCAGGCTTGTGCAGCAGACACCTTTACCTGCTGAGCCGTCTCACTGGCTCTGCTGTAGGCATTTTTGATCACGTGCCAGGCTGGGCTAGGGAGTGGAGCCTGGGATGATGCTGGGCATCCTGCAGAGAAGTAGTCAGCTCCATAATAGATCTGTCCAGTCCCAAATGGCAGGGGTGCCAAGGCTGCAGAGCACCAATCTGGACGGGGGCAAAATGATTCTAGATTACAAAGTTGCTGTGCATTCTGAAGGAGACGGTTCAGATTCAAAACAATGGCCCGCTTCTCGTCTCTCGTCTCATGTCTCATGGTAGTGCTGCATTTGTGTCAGCTGTGAGGCCCTTCGTGGCCTGCATCCTGGTCCTGGTGCCCTTTGACTTCTCTCCTGTCCTCACATTCACCTCTATCCTTTACATAACTTGAGGCTTTTGCTGTTATTCCAGGGACCCCATAGCTTACTCTGACCTTCAGGTCCTCTCAGAAGCAAATGTTCCCGGGAAGACTTCTGACCTCCCTCAGTGTAGAGCACCCCCAGTGTCATTTCCTGCCCCTCAGTCTGCTGCACTGCTGTTTGCATCCAGTGGGCCCCTCAGCTTCTGCTTCCTTTTGCCAGATCCTTCTAATAAAGGTGGATTTCAATCTATATTCTTTGGTGTATTTTCACCCCCATTTTGATTTGCTGTCTTTTTTTTTTTTTTTTTTTTTTTTCTCAAAGGTAGGCGCAATTGATTTTGCAGAAGGGACTGCATTCCCTCAGACCTCTGGTTTCCACAGAGAAGTATATAATGCAGGGGACTCCAGCGTAGGGATAGTTCTGCTTGTGTTTTAAGAGAAGATGCGTGCGTGTCCCTTCCTGTGGGAGGGCCCTGGAACAATGTTTGCTGTCCAGAGCCAGCCTGGAATGGTTGAGTGACATTCTGTGCCACTGATGTCAGGGTCAAGATTGCGTGTGGCAGACACTCCGAGCAGGGGCCTCCTTCGCTGACCCACCTGGGCAGGCCTTTCCCCCCGGCTCTCTCTTCCTAGCACTTGGCTGTTGAGAGTGGCTGTCCTGAGCCTTGAACTTTTTTTGCTTTTTTCTTTCTCTTCATTAAGTTTATTTATTATGTGTTTGTGCATGTGCATGTGTCCCGCATCACCCTTGTAGAGGTCAGATGACAACTTGTAAGAGTCAGTTCCTTCCTTCCATTTCGTGAGTCCCAGTCATAGGATTCAGGTCTTCAAGCATGGCAGCAAGTGCCTTACCTGCTGAGCCATCTTTGGTCCTGGCCTTGTTTGTTTGTTTGTTCTTTCTTTCTTTGCTTTTGTTTGTTTGGTTGGTTTGGTTTTTCAAGACAGGGTTTCACTGTGTACCCCTGGCTGTCCTGGAACTTACTCTGAAGACCAGACTGGACTCGAACTCACAGAGATCCACCTGCTTCTGCCTCCCAGTGGGTAGGATTAAAGGTGTGCACCACCACCACCTGACTCAGGCCTTATACTTCCTAAGTGCTGGCTGTAATAGTGTACAAAGTGCGGAGCCCTTCTCCCCAGTACTGGACAGCCACTGAGGGTTGGAAAGCATCCTCCTCATACTCATTGCTGCTCAGTTCCACTTTCAAGGAGCTGTTTAGAGCGGTTGTGACCTGTTGGCTTTGTCTTTTTCCCTCAGATGTCGCCAATGGTAGTGTCACCTTTTTACCCTTGGAAGAGGATGATGAAGGGAATTTGGAGGTTAAGATGAGCAACGTGTATCAGCTCCGGCTCCATCACAGTGAAGGCGAATGGTAAGAGCCGGATTCCGCTCTGTTGCACTGCTATGTGATGTCCTATCCCTGGGCAGATGGAAGGTTCTGGGGGCCAGAAGAGCCAAGGTCCTGTGTTGGTGGGATGCTCTCAGATGTGTACTATAGCCACCACTCTGCTGGTTCCTGGCGCCGGTCCTGGGTTGGTGCTTGCTTCAAATTTTACAACCTGAGATTGATCCCTAGGACCCACATGTTGGAAGGAGAGGACCAACATGTTCTGAGTTGTCCTCTGTCATGCACACATGCAAACACACACACACACACACACACACACATACATGTATGTATATAATTTTTAAAAGGTCTCAGAGGTTTTAGTTTGTGGTCGCTCCTCTCTTTGGTATCTGGGCCTGTAGTGAGGAGCTAGGAGCATGTGCTTCCGTCAGGCCTCTCACTCAGGGCAGCCAGGAAGTTGACAGCAAGAGGGAGCCATGGACAGATTCTACCCGTCAGGAGTGCACCCCCAGCTTCCTACCTCCTCCAACAAAACCTCACCCTCTAAAGCCCCCGCTACTCCCAGGAGCCCATAAGCTAAGTCCATCGATGAGTTAGCCTGTTGATGAGGTTGGTCCTCTCACGGTCCAGTCACCTCCCAACGGCTCCACCTTTGAGCTTGGCTGAATTGGGGACCAAGCCTTGACACAGGAGCCTTTGGAAGACCTTTCAAATCTAGACCGAATTGATAGGAACTCTAATCCCATCATCATGCTGCTATTTGTACAGCTTGGTCCAGAGGAGTGGGTGGCATGTCTTGTCATAGTTTGGAGCCCTGCTCCTTATACAGTGCAGGCTTGTTACTCGGTGGAACACTTGCCCATTGTGTGCCTCGGCAGACCCGGGGCTTGATCACAGCAGCACATGCAGTGTGCACATGCAGCGTGTGCATGTACACACACACACACACACACACACACACACACACACACACACACACAGTGAGAGAGAAAGGATATTTTAGTTGCTGCCCACTTCTGGGAGATAAACATGTAACATAAGAATAAGAATTGAAGCCAGCTCTTCTCACTGGTATTTCTCTTATTTTTGAAGGTTCATATCTGTTTTAATTTTCTGTCCAGAGAGGTGGCATTCAGATGGCATTGTCTATCCCAAACCTACCTGGCTTGGAGAAGAACTGCTGTCCAAGCTGGCCAGGTGGGCTGTGGAGAACAGGAAGAGTGAATTTAAAAGCACGCTTTCCCTGGTGTCCATCCTGCGCTACAGCAGGATGTACCAGGAGCTCAAAGAGAAGTACAGAGACATGGTAAAGGTAATGCTAAGGAGCATCCGAGGTCCACCCCCCCCCATTTAATAAGGGACATGGCCAGTGCCTGCCAGGGAGACTCTTCCCTGTGGGCTTTCTATCAAGTTCAGGTACCACACTGAAAATCCACTGTGGGTGCAGACAGTGTAAGCCAAGTGGATGTTTTGGTACATTTTTAAACCCAGAAGGAGTAAACTGTTTCACATTTTTCGGAAACTCAAAAGGGGAATTTTAATCTAAATATATTAAGCATTGTGTTAGTTACTGTATTATAAAGTTTACATTTTGTTTAAATTTTATTTTTGTTTTGAGATGGGATATCTCTGTAGCCCAGGTTAGCCTGAAACTCATGGTCCTCCTGCCTTATCCTCCCAAGTGCTAAGATTACAAGCATATGCCACCATGCGGACCTGGCTAATTAAAAAATTTTTTTTTAATTATTTTTATGTGTGCCTGTCTATGGGAATATGTGCACAGGCATATATTTGCCTGCAGAAACATAACAGGGTGTCAGAGTTCCTGGAGCTGGAGTTAGGTGCAGCAGTGGTGAGCTGCCTGCCTTTGGTGGTTCTTGGCAAGAGCAGTAAGCTCTCTTAACCTTTGAGCTGTCTCTGCAGCCCTGGCCTCATTAACTTAAAGGTATTTTTTTTTTCTTTTTTCTTCTTTTTTTTTTTTTTTTTTTTTTTTTTTAAATTTTCCAGAGCTGAGGACCGAACCCAGGGCCTTGTGCTTGCTAGGCAAGCACTCTACCACTGAGCTAAATCCCCAACCCCAAAGGTATTTCTAAGACAAGTGCTCCAAAAAAACAGCGTGCTTCATGACAACATGACCTTGAGTTAGTCCTTGCACTTATAGGGCAAAGTGGCCAAAGCCACAGGCTTGGGCCATAGTGATTCATTATAGAGATGTGGTTCAGGTCTGTCTGCACACAGCTGAGCTGCATTCTCCTGAAGACTCTGGTCTGGGGGTCTTCTGTCCCCTTGTGGACTCTCCATACCTTCAAGAAGGTACTCCTATTTCTCAGCTTTTAAATTGTTCCCAGGACATGGTTTATCCATTATATCACTCACCAGACCTGTCGGTTCTGTACATGGTTGACTCTTAAGGTGCCTTGATAATTCTGCCTATCAGTCAGAGCCTGGCCCTGAGCAGCTGGCCCAGCTCCTGAGTCCCAGTCTGTGTCTGCCTGCACCACTCCCATGTTTCTTGGTGTGAGTACCACATGTATGTGAGCGAGGATGAATGCACCTGTGCACACGCATGCAGAGTCCAAGGAGAGTGCCATGTGCCATGCTCCATCACTAGGGTTTTACACTGAACTTGGAGCTAGACTGGCAGTCAGCAAGTCCCAGTGACCCTCCTATTTCCAGTGTCCCAAGGCTGGGCCTACAGCGAACCACATGGCCATACATGGCCTTTTATGTGGGTGCTGAGATTTGAACTCTTACCTTCATGCAAAGCAAGCACTTTGTTACTGAGCTTCCTCCCTAGCCCTGCCTTCCTTCCTCATCTCATTAGTCCTTGTCTTTATCTAGATAACATCTTAAACTATATCGTTGATGGTCTGGATCACTTTGTACAGGACACTTTCTGTCCCGTACGTGCAGTGCAGTAACTGCGTTCTTGTATAAAGCAATTAATTATAAGAGGTCAACTGTGCGTTCATGCCTTTGAAATGAAATTGTGTATTTACTATATGGTTAGTTTGGTTTGACTTAGGCTGTTTAGAGATACTTTAAGGTGTTGAAGGTAATTTCACAGCTATTTACTTATTCCCTGAAAACATTTTAGGTTTGGCCTGAAGTAACAGATCCTGAAAAGTTTGTCTATGAAGACGTGGCCATCGCCACATACCTGCTGGTAAGAGCACTTGCACTGTTCACACTCAGGGAGTGTGGGAAGCTTGCCTCTGGCAGACGCTACTAGCTGGGGGTGGAGCATTCACCAATCAGGACTTGTGGTTTGCCCTGCTGTGAAATGATTTCACATCCTGCATGGCTCCTGCATGAGCACAGAGCATGTGTGAATCGGGAAGTTGGGGTGCGAGAGGACAGATGGGGTAGGAGTCAGTGAGACACAGTTGTCACTGGAGGTACCGACAATCCAGTGCCCGCCAGCTGTGGCCTGGGCCTCTCTCCCCTAGTCTGTCCTTAACTTGCTGGCCAGCCAGCTCAGTGGGACACTTCTTTAACTCAGTCCTCTTGATTTTCTTATCTCTAAAGTGTTTAAACTAGAACTCCCCAGTTTCCCTTTAACTTGTGCTCTCTTAGTTTAGAAAAGAGGGTTATTTTGCTTCTCAAGGCATGCAGAAGTTAACGGACAAGGAGAGAGGTCCACTGGATATGGATGCCATTTTTCTGGTGCTGGTTTAGAACCTAGGGCCTCACCCATGCCAGGCCAATAAGTGCTCTACCACTGAGCCGTTCATCACCAGCTCCTTCTCTGAAGTCTAGAGACAGGACCCCACCAGCTTTCCCAGGCAAGCCTTGAGCTTGCAGGCCTCCTGCCTCGTCTTCCCAAGATCACAGGCGTGTGCCTTTGCTCCATTAGGTTTGTTCTGGAACAGAATGAGTCAACATGTGGGTTGTCTTTACTTTGTCTCTTTCCTCAGATCCTATGGGAAGAGGAGAGGGCTGAGATGGGAGTCACCACCAAGCAGTCCTTCGTGGACTTGGGGTGCGGAAATGGCCTCCTGGTCCACATCTTAAGCAATGAGGGGGTGAGCATGGCTCTGCTGTCTTTATCTTAAGATTTCTCTAGGTTGAGCAAAGGGGCCCCCATGTTTCTTGTTTTTAATTTTTTGAGACAAGGTTTCACTGTGTAACCTGACTAGACTAGAACTTGCTATGTAGTCCAGAGTAGCCTCAGACTCACAGAGAACCACGTATCTCTGACTCCAGAGTATGCAGCCACACCCAGCTCCAACAACATTTCCTGATGCAGCTGCCTGGCTCAGAGTCAGCCTGGCTCAGAGTGGTGCCCCCAGCTTCAGCTGGAGCTTTCCCGGGTGTTTATAAAGGAGGCATTTTTAGTGGTGTCCTTGTGAAGACCTGGAAGCTGGGTGTAGAGCTGATAGGAAGGTTCCATAGCCCTCTACCCAAGAGGGAATGAATAAGGTTGCAGCCAGGGTGCAGGGACCTTGGTGGGGCTGGTCACAAGCTTGCCTTCCCCTGTGTGTTCCCTGGGCACTGCCTTGGGACACAGGCCACTGTGGTCCCTTTTGAAGAGCTATGGTGATCACTGGTAGGGTGCAAGTTCCCACTAGCCATGCAGGTGTGTAGTGTTGCCAAGAGCTGAGAGCTGTGCCTCCCACAGATGCCAGGCACGACCTGTCCTTCCTATGTGGCAATGGCAGTGCCTGCAGATTTATTTTTTGCCAACTTACTGCAGTTGCCCAAACTTAACCCGTGATTGCAAAACTGCTTATTTCAGCATCCGGGCAGAGGGATTGATGTCCGAAGAAGAAAGATCTGGGACATGTATGGACCCCGAACTCAGCTGGAGGTACTGCTTTCCCCCCTAATTCCATGTATTTATTCTCTGTAGCTCTAGAAAGACCTGTCCCCTAGAGTCAGCTGTTGGCAGGAGCGCCTCTGGATTCAGTCAGCTCTCACTACAAGTGTTCACTTTAGTTTGCGTGCTCTATCATAGGAAGGAGAGGGACGGGACGATTTCAGCTCTGCCCAGCCTCTGGTTACGGTGACCTTGTCTGGAGGCCTTCTTCCTGAGCTGTGCATGTGTGTGCATGTGAGGTGCTCCATGCTGTCTGCAGGGTGGAGATGTCTTTTTCCCCTTTCAAAGCCTGCTGCAGGAGTCTGTTCAGACACCCACTCTGAGTGATGATGTGCAGCAGCCCACCAGGAGGGTCTTCTCTTAGTTAAACCTCTCTAGAAATAACCTCATGGACCCAGAAGTGTGTTTCCTAGTGACTCTAAACCCTGTCAAGTTGGCAGTCAAGATTAACCATCTCAACATGACGAGCACCAAGTATTCATCAGCAACTACCACTATGCCTGTGTGCCACCACTGCCCCAGACACTGCCTACAGCTGCTGCAGTACTGTCTGCCCAAACCCTGCCCCAGACACTGCTCACAGCTGCCACAGTGACTGCCCATCCCTGTCCCAGACACTGCCCACAGCTGCCACAGTGACTGCCCATCCCTGCCCCAGACACTGCCCACAGCTGTTACTGCTTCATCTCCAGCAAAAAGTACAACTTTAGAGACTTGCATTTTCTGTTATTGTATCTTTTTCAAGTTGAGATAATATGACAAAGACTTGAGGGTCAGGGGGTTCACTGCCAGCCCCTCAACTCAGTTCTTCCTTCTGTGTTCATGGTTCCTTTCCCAGGGATTTGTAATTGCTTAATAGATTCATGTTATAGGAAATTTTGCCAAGCAAGAAGGTAAACTTTTGTAATTCCAACACTCAGGAGGTAGAAGCAAGAGGATCAGCTGTATAATGAGTTCAAGGCCAACCTGGGTTGCGTGAGACCCTGACCTTAAAAAAAGGAAAGAAAATTGAGGAATGTTTTTAGGACTGGGCACGGTGGGATATGCCTTTAATCTCAGCTCTTGGGAGGTAGAGGCAGGCAGACTGAGTTCTAAGCCATCTTGGTCTACAGAGTGAGTTCTAGGCCAGCTGGTGCTAAATAGTGAGACCTTATGTCCAAAAAGAAAGAAATGCTTTTAGTGTCTTGAGTTTGAGGACTGTTGGTAATAAGCTGGCAGGTTCATAGAGTCCTGCAGGTTGAGATCTAAGTCCATAGATCTTCATGCCTGGTGCCTAAGGCTCTGAATTGTGTGTGAGATGGTTAATCACCAGGAGTAATTTGGTGATGTCAACATCCCTGTGTCCCCGGGTCTTAACCCTTTGCTTGGAATGAACTTCAAACTGTCCCGCTAGTAAGTCCTGACTGAAGGAAGGGCTGGTTGGTGTGAGGGGCTTTCAGGGATTGTATAGAGGTTTGGGCTGTTTATTAGGGGTCCCCAGCACCTGCCTCAGACCTGTCAGTGCGTCACCTGACTCGGGAACCCCTTCTAGTCTCAGTGCTAGCGCCACTGGTTCTAGTGTTGAGTGTGCCAGGTGGAAGTCAACTGTGATTCTGTTGCACTTTCTGCCTGAGCCTGTGGCCATGAGGCTTCACTGGAAGCTGTGTGCTGCTGGTATATTTCCTAGTAAACAGTTTGTTTCCAGCTGCATCTGTGTGATGTCTATGATAGCTCTGTCTAGAAATCCCATCCATCTTGGCTTAAGCTTCTTTCTAATCCCTATTCAGTGCAAGTGTGTTTGGAATCCCTTGTTAATACGGTGCTGTGATGATCTCAGATTGTATTAAGTTTGTGCATCAAGCAGGATGGTTGCAATTTACTATATTCAGAAGGCCTTTAGTGAAGCAAGTCTGACTATTTCCAGGTCGATATAGCCAGATAATGGCAATCCAAAGATAAATAAGGTCTTGATTCATGAAGAGACAAATGGGCAGATTTAAATGCAGAGTGAGTGCAATGATAATACATGTTGCTAAAGGTTTCTCCTCCTGTGTGACTCTGCACTTAGCGGTTGGCCAGTGTATGCTCAGTGTCTCAGTGTCTGTGTAAACAGCCCTGGAGTCGCTGTAACGTATCTTCTGTGAAGGCTGCTGTGGGGCGCTAACAGTCGTACAGTAAGGACTGGTGTAGAGAACAGGGCTGGAGAGACAGGCATGGTCAGAGTGGCACTCCATCCCCTGCGGTCTGTCCTGCACCATCTCAGGTTGTGATGCACCTCCTTCCTCTCTGTTTTTCCGGTCAGTTCTCTAAGATGTCACTTGTTAATTCAAGACTGGCTGCTGACCGCCAGGAAGGGTGATGTGCAGAAACTCAGAAGGGCAGAGTTGGTAAGGTGTCACTGCTGAGAGTTCCCTGACCATAGTGACAGAATAGCCCAGAACTGAGAGGACTTTCCTTCCTCTTCTCAGAGGAGACCAGTCACCAGCTGTCTCTCTGTTGGTTGCTTTCTGTGTTTATGCAGGAGGCAGGTTTTAGTCATCACCCAGAAAAGTGCTCTTTTGGGGGTCCCAAAAGTCGCCAGTGATTTGTGTCCTTGGAGGCCAACTATGGTTAGGACAATCATCTCCTCTTAGTAAGTTGGGCACAGTGGAAGCCTGGGAGGATCATGTGGTAGGTGGACTGTGGCTGTGAATCATGGCTCAGAGCTTCTGGTGCATGTACTGACTGGTTCATCTTGTGTGACATTCTTAAGGAAGGTTCCATCACCCCAAGTGACAAGACCTTGTTCCCTGGTGTTGACTGGCTGATTGGTAACCATTCTGATGAGCTCACTCCCTGGATCCCTGTCATTGCGGCCAGGTGAGTAGGAAAGGCAGGTGGCTGTTTCTTTCTGTGCACACGATGTCCACGATGGCAGCCCCTCACCACTGTGGCAGTGTGGCATTTGACATGGTAACTCAGACAGAAGCACAGATACATTGAGTAAATTTAAATCTACCTGCTTTTCTTCTGAGACTGTGACTACTAAAAACCTGAACCACACACGTGGTTCCTCTCATGTTCTGTCAGCCCACACTGATCCCGGTTACATCATCTCTGGCATTTCTATCCCACGTTGAAAGATACATACTTTTTTGGAAAGCTTCTGATTTTGGAGGGTTTGGCTTCAAGGGAAAGTCTTTCCTTAGACAGATCCTTTGCACAGTCCGCACCTTTAGACAGCTCTTTGACGAGTGTGAGACACTGTGTGTACCTCCAGCCCCGCCTCCCTTAGTCTGCCATCGGGCCTCTCTTACCACCAGGACTCTGGCTGTTTGTGCTCCTAGCTCCACTCCAGCTCAAGTCTGAGCTTGCCTTTGCTGTGCCTGCCTTGGTTTCCGATTCCTACCTGAAGTTCCAGCTCCAGAAAGCTGATGTCACAGTGGGCCAGAGTAACTACACAGGGAAATTATTTTTTATTAATTCAGTTTCTATTTTGTTGAAAGGTACAGTGTGTTGCATGGTTTTTAGAGGTCCATGGGAAACAATCCCACTGTGATAACTGCCTGTAACCCCAGTACATTGAAAGTGGAGACCAGAAGTCAGGAATAAGTAGTGCATTTGAGTGCATTTGCACTGTGGCCTCACAAAGTAAATAAGAAAGACCCATTGCTTTAGATGTAAGAATAGCCAGGAGCAGCGTAGGTACTCGGTCTTCTGCTGCTTGTGCATGTTGTGGTGCTTCTGCCTACCTGGGTCTGTTGTGGGCTCCTCGGGTCTTCCTGGGTCTGTTGTGGGCTCCTCGGGTCTTCCTGGGTCTGTTGTGGGCTCCTCAGGTCTTCCTGGGTCTCTGCTGGACTCCTCAGGTCTTCCTGGATCTGTTGTGGGCTCCTAGGGTCTTCCTGGGTCTCTGCTGGGCTCCTAGGGTCTTCCTGGGTCTGTGCTGGACTCCTCAGGCCTTCCTGGGTCTGTGCTGGACTCCTCAGGCCTTCCTGGGTCTGTGCTGGACTCCTCAGGTCTTCCTGGGTCTCTGCTGGGCTCCTGAGGACTTCCTGGGTCTCTTCCTCCTCCAGGTCTTCCTACACCTGCCGGTTCTTCGTCCTGCCCTGCTGTTTCTTTGACTTTGTGGGGCGATACCGCCGGCGGCAGAGCAGGAAGACACAGTACCGAGAATACCTGGACTTCGTGCTGGAGGTGGGGCTTTCCTGTGGCTTCCACATGGAGGAGGACTGCCTCAGGATTCCTTCTACCAAGCGGGTATGTGCCAGGGCATGTGCAGGGTCAGGGAGTGTGCTCTGCTTGGGGCTCCTTCAGAAGTTTCCTTCAGAGCTCATCCTCAGGCTGGCACCATGTTGGCAAGTCTTGCTCCTCTGGGTTGGAGAAGGTTCAGTCTGGGGTGTCAGAGACCTGTGTTTTGCACCTGCCGTTCACTGCTCATCATGAATAACCAAGGAAGCTCCTGCAGTCTCTGACCTGGTGTTACCGGAGGGTGGTATGGGAGGTGCCCAGGAAGTGCCGGACAGCCACACAGCTGGTGGGACTAAACACATCAGATGCTGCTCCGCTCCAGACCCAGAGCACACGGCAGGGCTGGTGACCCTAATGGAATTCCACTGGCTCCCTTTGCTGGTGTGCACTCTAACTCTGGAGTTAATGACCAGAAGAAGAGTGTGGAGGAAGTTCCTTAGATACATTGGGCACCTACATGGTTCCAAGTGTCGTGCTAGCAGGTTAATATACAGCCTGTTCTCTCACAGATCCCTGGGGACTCTCAGAGGTAAATTGTGTCACCCCTGGGGCAAAGGCAGGCCTAGTAAAGACCACCCAGAGTGAAGCATTTTGAACCCCGAGCTGACTTGCACCTTCCATAGATCTACACCCACATTCTTTACCAGCTTTTATTGTTAGCTTTTTTATTTTTAAATCATTTCTGTTGGTATTTCAGGGCTTAGGGTAGACCTCAGTGGGTAATGTTTCCCAGCAGGCACAAGGCCTTGGAGTCCATCCCAAGTACAACCAAAAGGCTAAAACAAGGATTTCTTTCTTCTTATGACAGATTGCTAAAGCTTTGGTGGGAATTGTTCTTCAACACAAAAGTGCTCCATGGCGAATGTTGTAATACAGTGTCTCTTCCATCACAGGTCTGCCTCATTGGGAAATCCAGAACATACCTGCCTTCTGCAGAGGTCTGGATGGATGAGCAGAGGACACGGTACCTCCACAGCAGACAGGGCCACCCCCAGAGCTCACCTGCTGAGGGACACGCACCTTCTATACCCCAGGTTGCTGCCCATGATGCTGATCATCAAGACAGTCACAGGACCTTTGACCTTGAGGCTGAGGGCATGCCTGATGGCCGGGCTGCTGAGGGAGGCGCAGCCCCAGCCCCAGGGCTCTGGATGCCTGGGTTCTGCCCTAGAGAAAAGGCCGAGCGTGTGAGGAATTGTGCTGCCCTCCCTCGAGACTTCATTGACCAAGTGGTTTTACAAGTGGCAAATTTGTTGTTAGATGGAAAGAAGTTAAACACCGGGAGCTCTGAGGACGGGAGTCCGAAGACCTGGAATGGAGGAGGTAGGCCCCACCCTCCGGGGCAGGCTGACTGGCCAGCGTGGACTGTGGGTCTTTGTAGCTCAGCATACCCAGAGGCTGGGAGTGAACAGCTCTCCACAGTTGCTGTTCAGGGGGAGGAAGGTGGAGGCCAGGGCTGCTGGTATTCAATCCTTAGAAATGATACAACCAGAGAGCAGGTCATCGAGTGTCAAAAGCCCCACTTCCTTAAATGCAAATTCAATACTTTCATTCTCTGCAATCCCTAAATACAAGACTGTTGCCATGTCAGAGACGGTTGCATCTGATTGCTCATCGGCTGGAGCCTGCCTGTTAGAGAGAAACAGGCAAAGTAGGGTTGCTCCGACATGCAAAGTTGAGGCTGTCAAAGCTTTCAGCTGCACCCCTTCCTTCCACCTGTCACCACCAGAGGGCAGTATGGGGCACCGGAAACTGTGGATGTTGTCTAGTTCTCACCCTGCACGGGAGCAAGTAGCCCTCAGCATAGCTCAGAGCAGAGTGACAACACCCTCATCCCCCATGCCACATCCTCATCTGCGACTGTTGGGTCCAGGTTTCTTCCCTTTATCCTCTCATCTCCCACATGTGACATGGCAGGACCTTCTTGTATGTTCTCCTTCAGTATTAACCAATCCTGGGAGGCCCTCTGGGACACTGGCCAGAGTGCCCTTGGCTCAGGGGGCCGTGTAACTTGAAGACCCGTCACTCTGTGGTTTGGGACTAGCTTCGCTGTTTAGATGCTAATATGGGGTCTTTGCAGAGGGAGGCAGACGAGGTTTCCCAGCAAGGCTGGAAGAACACAGGGCGCTGGGATGGTGTGGAAGTTCTTGAGTGTGCTGTGTAGCAGGATCCCTGGTTTAACGGAGGAAGTGATGGGAACTGGGGTCTTTCGGCTGTGCCTGGGATGGAAAGCCCTGAGCTAGCTGGACCCTCCTTCAGACCTAGATCCAGTACCAGGTGGAATACCAGGGTACCATACCTTCACTGACAGGTGTCCAGAGGCCTGGGCTCATTGGAGACTCCCAGGTGCCCCTGGGTGAGAAACATCTCTGTAAGGAAGGAGTGGTCCTGGGCCTCTGAGCCCACAGACAGCCTCTCCCCACTTTACCTATTGGAGGCCTGGGCATCTCAGTAAGCCATTGCTGGACACTGGGCGGGAGTCCCTTGGGTCTGGGTCGGGTAGTGCTGCTCCTGCCTGACTGCTGTGGAGACTGGGCTGTTTTTAGCCTCCAGCTTTACCAGGAGACACAGGTGAGCTGCAAGATGCAGGAAGGTGATTCTTGGCAAAAGCACCAGGGAGACCCATTGTTATCTTAGTCGGAATAGACTTCATTGTCACTGGGTGTCTGATCAGAGCGTTTCCACATGTGAGCAGGGTCTTGAGCAGCATTGTGAATGGGAGAGACCTCACTGATATCTGCGATTCTGTGTCACGCCTCCCACTCCAGCCCACCATGTGGGCAGTGCCCTGCAAAGCTCTAATGCCAGCTTGACCAGGAGGTATAACAAAAGGCTTGCCTGTTGGCCCTGCCTCCTCAGCTCTGGGCTGTATCTCATTTGTATTGTACTAAGAATGTGGGGGCTGGGCCACCCCACCAGGTGTTGGCGGACTTACTTGATGCTCAGCCTGAACAGTGGAAGCATGTGGTCCTGCAGGCTGGCACACTGTGTCACTGTGACTGGGGTGACTGCCACCTCATGTCTTGTGGTTGTAAGATGTAGTTTTGTTAAACTGTACACCAGGATCCTGCACCTGAAGCATGCATGGGACTTGAAGCTACAGGATAGGTTTGGCTTTGGGACCTGACAGCCTATGCTGGCTACAGGCTTGTAATCCGTGCTGTTTGCGGATACCTACTTTCCCACAGGAAGCCTTTCCCTGGCAGAAGTGGCTGCGGAACTGAACCCAGAGACCCTGCAGCGACTGAAGTGCGAGTGTGGAGGCCTACAGACCCTGCTCAGGAACAGCCACCAGGTGTTTGAAGGTAAAATCTATGAAGTCACCATACACTGTCTATCCTGCTTGTCCCCAGCAGTTCCTCCATGTGTACTCTGTGAACTCTGCTTTCTGTCCCCAATGGCTGTGATACTTAGGGGCTTCCTAGATGTCAGAAGAACCAAGTGGACATTATGGCGGCCCTGTGTCCACCTAGGCCACCACTAGCCTGTATCTTAGGGTGAGGCCATAGCCATCCTTCTCTCTAGGCACACTCTGGCCTCAGCTCGGGCTCCCTGTGCCTTGGTCCAGGTGGCTCCTGTCTGGGATGTGCTCCTGAACCTCCGCTGCTACTGTGATGCCTATTCCTCATATAGGGCTGGTGGTCAGTTGCAAAGCTTGCTGGCTGCATCTTGTGTTACTACAAGAACATCTGTTCACCTCTGTCTCCTGCAACAAGAAGCATGTGGAGCTGTAGAGCCCATCAGGCAGGTTGGGGACATGAGCCTTCTCCTAGTCTCTGCTTGATGCCTCCACCTTATGGGCCTGGCACAGGGACTTGGGACTCTTGAGTGGCCCTCCTGGTAGACTGAGGCTTGACTCTGCTTCAGCACTGGATTCCATAGCTCCAGAGATAAAAGGGCCCATTCTCATTTGTCATGGCTCCATCCCTGCCTTGTGGGAGTGTTCAGTCTAAGGATGGGGAGTGGAGTATGACAGTGTCCACCCAGAAGCCCGAGGTGTAGACAGTGCCATGAGGGCATGAGCGTGTAGGACTAACACAAGACGCGAAGAGCTGCAGGGCCTGAGTCCTCTCAGCAGCCCTCCCACAGGCCACTCCTGCTTCACAGAGTGTGCGTCTCCCTTTAAAGTACATTCCATTCTTAGGTAGGGTTACCATTGCTGTGATAAACACCATGACAAACAACCTGGGGAGAAAGGGTCTGTTTACCTTACATATCGTAGTCCATTGAGGAAAGCCAATGCAGGAACTCAAACCGGGCAGAACCTGGAGGCAGCAGTTGATGCCGAGGCTGTGGATAATTGCTGCTTACTGGTTTGCTCTTGATGGCTTGCTCAGCCTGCTTTCTTATATAGAACCCAGGACCACCCTTGCAGGGGTGGCCCTGCCCGCAATGGACTAGACCCACCCACATCAGTCACCAGTTAAGAAAATGCCTTACAGGCTTGCCTGCAGCCCAGGCTTCTGCAGGCATTTTCTCAGCTGAGGCCTCCTCCTCTCAGATGACTATAGCTTGTGTCAGGTTGATGTAAGACCAGCACAGCCCACTTGGAGTGCATTCACCCCACGTGCTTCCTTGTACAGCATTAGACACAACAGGCATTGTCTTTCTCTTGCTTCACCAGTATGCCTTCAGCACAGGTATCCACTTGGGCTCAGTTACTTAGAAAGGCTTTCCTTAGGAGGTGATGCTCCTGTTGGGACCAGGAGGAGAGGAGTCTGGGAAGTGAGGAGGGCCAGGAGGAGAGGAGTCTGGGAAG